GATCGAAAATTCGCATAAAATAGACGTACCGGGGCGATTTTGTGTTTAACTTCGTAAGCGACATTTGTCTTCTACAAGAGGTAGAGCCTACGTTTTTGATATTTTACACTCTTTTGTATGCCATATTTAAGAACTGCATAGGTATATTTGGAAGATCTACGCTGAGCTTAGGGTATATCCTAGTCGGACACTTTCGACTAAACCACTTTTACTTGTTTATTTTCATTTTCTTTTTTTTTTTTGTTTTACTAAAAAACTTTGCAGAGACATGTGCTGTCTACCTCACACCAACACACGCCCACCGCCCACCGCCCATACCCGAATTCCGAGTGTGTGTCTCTTTTTGTCTCTTATCTATTTATCTCGCTCGCTGTATCTGTCCCAGACGTCGTTTAAATATGCCTAACCTTTGCGTACGTAGTAAGCATTCTCTCTCTACGCCTATTTGCACTCATTTTGTCTGCGTCTGTTTGTATGTGTGTGTGTGTGCTTTTCTCTTGCAGAGCTGCTGTCCCTATGCGTTCATCAATTGTCGCGCCAGTCTGCGGGCAGCTGGAAGGGGAAACGGCGCTGGCGGCGGCCACCGAAGAGACAACGGCGGCATCAGAGACGGATCCGCCGAGCTGCCGGCCTATATGAACTCGACGGCCTCATCGGAGATACACATGAATGTGATGCGTGCGCGACAGTATACAGCTGGCACGCCCACGCCGACGCCCACAATGACAGGACAGGAGCAGCAGCAGCTGCATCCGCTCTACACCAACTAAGCCCTTTCAGCTCCTCTTCTCTTGCTTATGTGTAACTGTGTGTGTGTGTGCACAGCTAGATACAGCACAACCTATGCTAGGAATTCCATATATGTATATGTATTATCTATATATAGAGCTATATATGTATGCCCAGAACTATGACCACGCTAAGCAACAGTTAAAAATGGGTTTAAGCCGAACACGACAATCCCACAGAAAAATATTGAAGCCTTCAAAGAAAAAACAGATTATCCGAAATAGATGTGCAAAAAATACACTCGAAATATGAAATATGAATACGTACAATAAAAAAAAAAAGAAAACAAATTGAAATATTTACAAATTGAATTTAAAGCGAAATTGTTGGGCAAAACAAATAATGAAAGACAAGAATTGCAAATTCCTAGAATTGCCAGCAACGATTTCAAGCAACATTTGATTGGCATTTAGTGCAGTGTTTATATAAAGCATACTTACCTATTTAATATATACACATACATACATACATAAATATATTGTATTGAATGTTTGATATACGTATTGCTATTTGATGTCCCATAAATATTGCTAACATGCGTGCGAATCGGATTAATTAAGTGCAAATTGTCTTCTAACTGAAACATATTTAATTGATATATATAGTATATGCCATGCCATACCATGCCATACTCGTATGACTAACATATCCAAATGGGTCTATTAGCCACACCTCGACACACCTGTAGTTACTAGCTAAAATGTAAAATGTAAAATGTGACTTAAAGTCTCATCAAAACAAAGCTGTTGCAATTGATGTATGTATGTATGTATTTGAGCATATTTGTTGTAGCATATAGTTAGCGCTCAAATATGATATAGATGTTAACTAAATATTTAGTTGCTAAGTGTATAAGTACAACACGACGAACAAACAACTAGTTGATTATTAGTTAAAAACTTGAAAAATAAATCAAATTAGTTGCAATTTTTTCTACAACTATAACTATATATATTTTGATACTTTTTTTAAGGTATTTATTTATATATGATTTGTATTTTATTTAATCTGCTTGTATTTATAGCCTTAGGTTCTATATATATTTATGATATTTCATATCTATCTCTTTATTGGTTCGCAATGCCCAGACAATCTTATCCAAGCACATTTTGACTTTGCATCTAGATTACGAACAATCGAAAAACAAAAGAAATTATGAAGATTGCAAACTTGTTTTTATACCCTGAACCCATTGAAAATGGCTAAAAAGGGTATAATGTATTTGTGCAAATGTATGTAACAGGCAGAAGGAAGCATCTCCGACACCATAAAGTATATATATTCTTGATCAGCATCAATAGCCGAGTCGATCTAGCCATGTCCGTCTGTCTGTCCGTATGTATGAACGCAAGGATCTCAGAACCTATAAGAGCTAGAGACTTGAAATTTTAGCTGTAGGTTCTCCTAGTGCCCGCGCAGATCGAGCATGTTTTCGATATTCGATGACTTGCCCCGTTCCCAAGTAATCGATAAAAATCGATATCGAATAAGAGCTAGACTCGCCAAACTTGACATGTAGCTTCTAGAATAGTATATATATATCAAGTATCTTTCCTTTTTTAGCTATCGCCTGTTGGAAGAATACGGTTCAGGGTATCCGCTAGTCGGGAGCTCCCGACTAGAACCTCTTACTTGTTTCTTTTGTTTCGGTTTCCCGTTGAACTTTCATTTTTCGACAAAGCAATTATTTACAGAATGAACGCTTATCAAGCGTTCACAAATTCCCTTTGTTTGGCTTTAATATCTATTATATTTTCGCTAGTAAATAATATACATATATATTCCAAATCATAGTCATTATCTACAGCGCCGGCTTAATGGCTCAGCCCAATAGACAAATGAGCCCGAGTCTGTCCGTCTGTCTGTCTGTCTGCCCGTATTTAGACTTCTGCCAATATTTATTTTATTTAACTTTTGACGCTTTGATTAAACAAAGAGGCGCCCGTTGCCTGAGCTATTGCGTTGCAAAATTAAATTGAAATAAATTAATGGCGAAAAATATTTGCTAACGAAGTTTACATATGCTAAAATTTAGCAATTGTAATTAGTTAATTTCCATATTCCAAGAAATAGTCACAGTTGAGTTTCTCTGTCTATTCTATTATTATTATTATTCATAGTTCAATTAAACGTGTAACTAATCGAATTAAATTGTTTCCTTGACGTTAAGAGTTATTTAAATGGTTTTAAATACTTTTGAAGTGTGTTTGAATGATTTCTAAATTATATCTACGAATAGATATCATTTTGATACTCTATGAATATACAAATTATTCAATTAAATTGATTCCATAAATTTCAACTAAGTGCAAAAGCTTGTCGTTAGGAAATACTTGAATATTTTTAAATACTTTTGAAGTGTGTTTGAATAATTTCGATATCGTTTTGATACTTTATGCATATACAAATTAAATGTGGCGACTTTAGCTCTTAAAAGCCTCAAGAAATGTTCAAGAAACTGAATTTTGAAATAAATACTTATCGATTTTGCGGAAACGGGGCGAGTTATCGATGATTCGAAATAAAGAGAGAGATAAATAACGTTTCAAACTAACTGCGTTCCAAATTTGTAGTCTCTAGCTCTTATTGTCTCTGAGATCGAAAAGTTGATTGGATCAAACATTTACTGGAGAGAAATGCCATTTGTCTGTCTGTAACATACTTTTTCAGAAATACTTGATACCCTTTTGGAGTAGAAACAGGGTATACAAAAAGCTAGTTCGTCTTCTCTTTAAATGCAGCTAAAGAATATATTTATATATTTGAGTTTTTCTCTGCCCGTTTTATGCCTTTGCAATATTTTGGAATGCATTTTTTTATTAATTTTTATTAAACAATAAGTTACATTGATGACTTAAGTGCAGATTTGTGTTTCCGTCGCCCCCCCTCCCCTCCCCCCCTCCACTTCCTAATAGACATACGATTCTATAAATGGTTATTAACAAATGAAACAACTAGCAGATACTTTAAGTACACACTTAGTTGCTTACAAGTAGAATATACTTAGAATATGCAATTCCCTGAGTATATCTATTCACAGTTATGACTGTGCCGATTGCGTGGCATATTGAAAAGACAGTTGGCTATTGATCAAATCAGTTGGCTATAAGCAGCAACAACAACAACAACAATAACAACAACAAGAAAATTGTTCTTATTGTCAGTTGGCATGTTAACTGACAGTGGAGCATGTGACTTGCAGTTATAAATAAAATAAATAAAATATTTTGCGCAAATATGGGGCTAAATAATTAAGTTATGGCAGCTCGCTAAAGCACACACACACACACACACACACAAACACAAGTACAGTAATGGCAAAAATGATAAGCACAGGTATTATTAAGCTGTAGCTGTTGTTAACTCTTGCCTGCGACTGTATAAACATTTTAATGACTGATTAATTTTGTTTGATTTTGTTTTTGTTGTCTCTTTCTACGATTATGTTAGTTACTAACTAATAAGTAAGTGTGTACGCTGTAGCCGTAGTTGTGTATATTGTTTGTATATAAAACTTATTAAAGAGAGTATGCAGCATTCGGTGTCAATCAATCAATCAAGCAGAGCCAAATACTCTCGGTAAATGTCCAAAAGTTTGACTACATGTAATGAAATTACCAAAATACAAATGAATAACAATTAGTTGTTAAATGTGTTTTTTGTGCATAGTTGAAGAAAAAGCAAAAACAAATATATATATATAGTATATATATTTATGTATATGTGTATGAGGAATTTAAGCAAAAGCTAATGGAAATAAACATTTGAATGAATCACATTCAGATAATTGAAAGATATCGTAAAAACTCACCGCAGCCAGACATAAAAAGATATATGTCTATATGGTCTCTGATCTCCGATTGAATCTGAGTCAACTTTGGACAGTGAAAAGGAAATAGTTGCATCTTGTATCTCTAAGCTAAATGTTAATATATGTGTGCGTTTCTCTCGGTGTATAACTAATATTAATACTCGAATTGTGCAAAACATATATATACATATATTTGTATGTTGTATGCATTGTATTGTATTTGTATATAAATATTCATGTATGTATATCAAATACATATGATACAAACTAAAGAAATGAAGCAATTACAATCGTATATTATAATGATATTTAAAAATAAAAAGTTACAAACAACATGCGTGTTGTTCACTTTTCTCAAATACGACGGAAACTCTCTCTCTCTCCTCAGTCTGGATGACGCGATGAATGGGGGGGTTGTGAGGGGTTGTTAGGGGGGGACGTCATTGAGAGTGATTGTTATTGGTATACGTATCTTTAAACTTTTTCTGTATTAACTGATACGCATTGTATACGCTTTGGGTTGATCAATTTACGGCGTGATAACAACAAAGAAACCCATAAAAAAAAGAAAAAGAAGAAAATCAAGTTAGTACATTTTTGTTGTTTTGTGGGATCAAAGCTTACCGCTCTTTCGCCGCCTTGAAGGACTTCTTGCGCTGCTTGAGACAGGCGGAATTCTGTTCGGCATCGGTTTGAGGCAGATCGTTGGGAGATATCATTGTAATATTGTCTGGATGGCAGAAGAATGCGATTGAGTGCCGGCCACGGGACCGTATGTGCTCCTGTTCGGGTATAACCACGCGATGTTGCTACGGTTTGTACAAAAGAAAAGGACATGAGATAAGGCTGCGAGTCCTTAACTTAGTATTTCGTTGCCTACCAGTGCGGGATATCGCTCCCTGGTCCAAATGGACAGGATCTCGCCACAGTTGACTAATATGGCACCCGGCAAGTGGCCCACACGATGCCACTTTTCGCTGCCCGGCAGCTTCACTTCGAGGCCACCCTCGGAGTCCTGAGCGAGCAGCGTAAATGTGCCGTAGTCGACATGTGCACCGCAGCGTATGACGGCCCCGTTGGCCAGCTTGTGCTCGGAGAGCTCGCCATCTCCGTCCTTGCCATTCGTTTGCACGCCGTCCAGCTCGTTGAGGTCGTCGTCGCGGGGATTGTGTTCGGGCCGAAAGTCCGGCTGATCGGATAAGCAGCGCTGGTAGCTATATTGGCAACGGCCCTTGAGCACATCGTTCTGACTATGGCCGGGCTCATCGTCCACCACGGGCGGATAGTAGAGCATGCGCAGGGTGGTCATGTTGTCGTGATCGCCGGACAGCATGTGTGAGTGCTTTTCGAGGAAGAACGTGTGCGGAATGTCCAGCGAGACAGCCAGCGCCTGTAGTATAAAGCTGGCCAGCGCCTTAAAGTCCTTGGCCAGTGTGCTAATGTGATCCGCAAAGCCCGGCAGCGGCTCCTCCGGCAGATTTTGGGCATTCAGCGTGCATATGTTGAACGCATGTCGCAGCTCCGGTGTCTTGCCATCGAAGCGCTCAATACCAGGACTCACATAGCCGTGATTGTCGCCATCGCTGCGTATATAATGCTGCTTGACATCCGACGCCAGATCCACAAAGTCATCCAAGTGATCCCAAGCCGTTTTCAGCTAAATCACAGTTCGTTTTAGAATAGTTATGGAAATGAAAATGTGTTTTAGTCACCTTTTCGTCGGATATGCCGTGATTGACCAGCAGAGCCATGCCCTTCTCGGATAACGCCTTCTGGAGCTGATGACCGACACGATTCACCACAGATTTGACGGGCACCTCCTCAATGCCTGTAATTATATATAACGATAATAGTGATCATCAGTTAAGTGCGTGGGCGTGGTTCAGAGGAACTGCCACTTCAATCATTTCCTGGAACAACAAGCAATAATTATCAGCCCCGGCCAGCTGCTGTCAATAACCATAAATAACATGTTCGCAGCCCGTCCAATTAAAGTACAAAAACCCCAAACGTATTAGAAACTATATGGACGCCAATAAACGCCCAAAATGCCACACGCCAAGTGTCGAGCAAATCCACGTTCCGGAAATTCGACTAATTGGAGCTCGCAATAATGGCCAATGATATAAAACCCATTTTGAGCTGTGGAATTGTCGAGTTAAAGCATCGAAAACCCGATAAATGCAAGGCGAACGAATGCAATAAAGGTAAATGCAATCAAGTTGCAATGCCAATGCGACGCGACACGATTTGGTTTTCCCGGGCGGAAAATTATATGAAAATAAAAGTGCGGCGGAAGTCAAGTCGAGTCGAAGACGCGGCAGGTGATGGGGCTATCTATCAATAGAGGTTGCAAAACGAAGCTCATAAACTGAAGAGCGTGAAACAGCTTAAAGTCCACAGATATAGCCAGGCCCTTATCTCGCCGAGATACGGCTTTGTGCATGTGATGCGGCGTTTTGTATTTGAAATTTCACTCTATATATATGCATATGAATAAATCTTTTTCAATGAATGAATATGAATAATTGCAAATACATTTGCACGCGTTCGCATTGACACACGCGGCGTATGCGCAATCTATAAATATATAATTGCCAATTTCAGCCCACCTTGCCCACCTGGGCTACCCTGCCCGCCCCCATTTCTCACTCTAATCAGGAGCATGACGCACAGTTTTTCGACTGATAAGCAAGCAAATTCACGGCTAATACTAATTACGTTGTATATGTGCAGTTATCAGTGCGTGTCGTGCTTCGGCCTTTTTTTTGGGCACCCAAAACAGATTTCTGTCACCAGGCGGCATACACATTAAATTGTACACAAATTCTATGGAATTTTTTTTTTTTCGGGGGGGCAACATAATGTTTATGACGATGATGAGATAGCTTGGCGAGAGGTCAGGCTGGCTTCTGAATGGCATCAATTGAAGCGCAACGCAGCCTTTCGATTTCATTTGATTGAATGCACATGGACTTATACTCAATGCTAGCTGGCATTACCCGGCTTTGCACGGCCAAGCACAAGCACAAGTCTTAAAAGTCTTAGATATTTTAAAATTTGCTTGATTTCGATCGAATGAAAAGCAAGAAAGTTATTTATTTTTCTTGAAAATAAGTTTTTAGCTTCATATTAAACTAACACTCTTGCTAACTTTAACCCCATTTTCAATCCACTATAAGTGTAAAAAACATTATTTAAATGTAAATTAAAGTATACATTTTTAAATATCATTATTTTAATTTAATCTATAAGGTTCTATTAGTTGAAAAAAAAAAACAAGAATATATATTCTTTGATAATAATCAATCTTAAAGAAATTATTTATTATTTGTAGTTATTTTAAGATTAGGTTGATGTCGATCGAATGAAAAGCAAAAAGTTGGTTATTTTGCTGGAAAGTGAGTTTTTAGCTGCATATTAAATTTACATTAATTTTTCCGCATTTTCCAGTGGATTTGCCGAAAAGTGTGAAATCATATCCGAATAAATTTTCGCAAAGACCTTTTTGAAATTCCCCCAAAGCCTTCTTCCATCCGTTTACCATACTTTTTCCACAACTGCTGGTGGAATTATCAAAAACCTTTTCTTACCGTGCACTAACAGTTATATATATATAGATATAGATATACTATATACAGATTCGCAGTGCCGTTTGGTTGTATTTGAGTTAATTTGTGGGCGTGACGCGATGTGGAGCATGTTTGCATGCACTTCAATTGGCCGGCGAATGTGTTTTGGGTCGCCTTTCAATTTGCGGCAGCTTGTAATTGGGAACAGCTCGCATGCTAGTCGCTAACTTGTCGCTAATTTATCTATATTGAGGCTAATTAATTGAGTCAGCAGCAGCGAGCATAATGTACAGAGGCCGCCTGTCGCAATCGTTGAAGATCATCGCCTCGAACGCTGCTTGCCACATGGGAGGAGAAGGGGGTGGAGGGGGGGAAGGGGCAAACGAATTTGGTTTTTGGCTTTGAATTTCTATTTCTAAATATTTGATTGGCATCACAGTTCGATCCGTTGCCAAATTGTTTGTGTTTACGAATATTTATATATATATGTATATACACAATATATATTCGATATTTATGGGCGTTCTGCTGTAAACAAACGTCAATGCGTTTGACGTCGTTTTGTATACTCTTCTTGTTTTGTGTATGTTATGCGTGGAATTTCTATTGACGCGACGCCTGCTGCTTTGTACCCTATACTTAATCTGGGGTAAAATAAAACTATGCAACTGTATGCGACAGGAAACCTCTACAGCTCTATACAAAAAAATAAATATATATATATATATATATATTCTTTATCAGCTTTGAACGTCCATTTGTATTTCAGTATATTTTTATACCCTGAACCCATTGAAAATGGGTAAAGAGGGTATAATGTATTTGTGCAAATGTATGTAACAGGCAGAAGGAAGTATCTCCGGCCCCATAAGGTATATATATTCTTGATCAGCATCAATAGCCGAGTCGATCTAGTCATGTCTGTCTTTCCGTCCGTCTTTCCGTCCGTCTGTATGAACGCAAGGATCTCAGAACCTATAAAAGCTATAGACTTGAAATTTTAGATGTAGGTCCTCCTAGTGCCCGCGCAGAACGAGTATGTTTCCGATATTCGATAACTTTCCCCGTTTCCAAGTAATCGATAAAAATCGATATCGAAATCCTGTTTTTTGAACCATTTCGGCTTCTAGAATAGTATACATATATCAAGTATCTTTCATTTTATACATATCGCCTGTTCGAAGATGAGGGTTCAGAGTATCCCCTAGTCGGGAGCTCCCAACTAAAACCTCTTACTTGCTTTTTTATGAAGAACCGAGCATACCCTGTCTAATAACCATGCTCTATACGATTCTCTAATGGGCATCTTGTAGTCGATCACAAGGCTACAAATTGCTTTGCTTTGTTTGTATTGAAAATCGAATTGATTAAATATATATATAGCGCAATTTATATACAGACGCGAACAGCTTAATGGCATCAATTTAGTTGGGGAATGCCGTACACATAAATGTTCGACCATACTTATAGAATATTTATATTTATAGACAAATAAACCGCGCGCGTAGTTGAATGGGCGGGCGTCTGCCCAAATGCCTGAGTGTGGGTAAAAAAAAAAAGTATTTATATTACTATAGTAAAAAGCCTGGCTACGCTTCAAATTGCCAGACTCAAATGTAGAATGGCCACAAAACCATATAAAATATTTATTAAATCTATAATTTTTTAAAACAAAAAACACTCAGGGAAAATAGTCTGTACTTCTTTGATGTTCGGATCGTTCAAATAAATGCCCACAAATATTTGCATATCTATATGAATCGAAATGGGCGAAAATATAATAAACATTCTTGAAAGAAAAATCTGCAAAATGCATTAAAAAGTTTGTATACTTGAGGCCTGGCCAAAAATCGAAATCTTGAAATTTGGTCTTGAAGACGCAATAATAATTTTCTCATTAAAATTTGAATGCATGTAAGTACAGTAAAGTATATATGCTCTTGATCAGTATCGGTCGATATAGCCATGTCCATCTATCGGCTATCGTCATGAAATGGGCGAAAATATAATTAACATTCTTGCAAGAAATCTGCAATATACATTAAAAAATTTGTATACTGGCCAAAAATCGAAATCTTGAAATTTGGTCTTGAAGAGGCAATAATAAATATGTCATTAAAATTTGACTGCACATAAGCGACCCCCTAAAGTATATATATTCTTGATCAGTATCAGTCGATATAGTCATGTTCGTTAGTTTGTTGTATGGACAACTTTTTTGTTTATCAATTAATCTCAACCAAGCTCGACATTTATTAATTTAACTATGCTCCTAGTATAAATGCAAAATCTTATAAACATCGAAGCTCTATATCATATAGCTGTCATAGGAACAATCGGTCGAAAAGTAGGTTAGGAAAGAAAGGTATGCAAGATATCTTGACCAAGCCCGATATAGTCTTACTCTGCTCCTTTATCTGCTCCTTTATCTGCTCCTTTATCTGCTCCTTTATCTGCTGCTTTATCTGCTCCTTTATCTGCTCCTTTATCTGCTGCTTTATCTGCTGCTTTATCTGCTCATTTATCTGCTGCTTTCTCTGCTCCTTTATCTCCTACTTTATCTGCTCCTTTATCTGCTCCTTTATCTGCTGCTTTATCTGCTCCTTTATCTGCTGCTTTATCTGCTCCTTTATCTGTTCCTTTATCTGCCCCTTTATCTGCTCCTTTATCTGCTCCTTTATCTGCCCCTTTATCTGCTCCTTTATCTGCTGCTTTATCTGCTCCTTTATCTGCCCCTTTATCTGCTGCTTTATCTGCTCCTTTATCTCCTACTTTATCTGCTCCTTTATCTGCCCCTTTATCTGCTCCTTTATCTGCTCCTTTATCTGCTCCTTTATCTGCTCCTTTATCAGCTTCTAAAAGCAAAATCTTTTCAACATCGAAAATTGGTTCGAAAATTGAGTTTTTATATGGACATTTCGCTGTTTTACGCGATATCTCAACCAAAATCAATACAAATATTCTCTAAATGCATAAGATACTCAATCGGTATCAACCTCGAATTGTCGCCAATTATCATTTATCAAAAATGACCCTCCCTGCAAGCTGAATTTTAAATTTGGCCATTTGAATGCGTCAGATTCTTCAGAGAGAGAGAGAGACAGTCCATAACAAAACATAAAATGACAAAAAATTCATTTAACACCTGGAAGCCTGCGACAGAGTTAAACTTTGGCTAGATATGCCAAGCCCCGCACACAGGTTAAAGCCGGTTTAAATCGGATTCAGAAAGCGCGTCGTTATTGTTGTTGGCTTGTTTAATTCTCAGCTCAGCTGCTGTGACGATATTTGCCGCATGTTTCAATTAAGCTGACAATCGACGGGTGACGCTGCCTGGGAATTCGCTGGCCAAATGCGTCACGAGCTGCGGGCCTGTTACCGAGTTTATTACGCGGCTTAGCCCGGGAGCAGAGTGGGTAAATATAGAAGCTCAAACAACAAATCAAACACTGCGCCACGCCCACACGCCCCGCCCCAAACAAGTGCAGCACAAATAAATACATATGTATATGGTATGCAAAAATATGCAAATGTATGCCAGAGCCAAAACAGAAACAGAAATAAAAATCGAAATAAAATCACAAGGCAAATCAAATCGAATAAATACGCGATTGTAAATATTGTGCTGCAATTTTGTTTGAATTTCCGCACTTGCAATGCCAGGCACAGAACTATGATGGGAAGCACTTCATAGACCCCAAGTAGTTCAAAAACCTCTCTCGAGCTGAAAAAGCAATTTAGGTTCCGTTGACACAACTGCGGCGCACAACTTTCAAGCTGTCAATGTCGTTTATTTACTTGCCTTTTGGGGGTCAATGGCTGAAATGTTTTGGACGCTAAGTCGTCGCACGGAGGTCAAGTGCCCAAGTGAAGGTCGACTGGGCATGGCTTGGCATGGCTCTACGACTCGAAGTCGCCCATTGCGCATATTCCCTGCCTGTCAGCCACACAAACTGTTAATTTTGTCATCGAAGTATGGAATACACATTGTGCTAAATACATCAACAATTTGTTTACATATCTACAATACCAATTTGCAGCTTTATTATCAAGTTATCGATTTACCAAGAGATATACGATTGCAAATCAATTTATACCCAATTTGTCTTACTTACGCGCCTTTTTCGCGGCCTAAGTTAACAGGCACTTTATCATGAAGTCTATCATTCTGCCTGACAAATACAAACATCAACTCATCGAAATGTCAAATATAACTGTACGTTGCATTTACTTCTTGTCAGTTGTAGTTGAATTTTAATATAATCGATTTTGGGGTCTAAGTTAACAGGCACTTTAACATGAAGTCTATTATACATATTTCGGACTAGCAAATATAAACCTCAGATCTTTTTTCACATTCCATCGCAATGTCAAATATAACTTTATAATGTTTTTACTAATTGTCAGTTGTAGTTGAATTTTAATATAATCGATTTTGTGGTCTAGGTTCACAGGCAGTTTAACATTAAGTCTATTATACATATTTCTGCCTGGCAAATATTAACATCAACTCATCGAAATGTGAAATATAACTGTATGTTGCATTTACTTATTGTCAGTTGTAGTTGAATTTTAATATAATCGATTTTGTGGTCTAAGTTAACAGGCACTTTATCATTCTGCCTGACAAATATAAGCCTTAACTCTTTTTTACCTTTAATCGGAATGTCAAATATAGCGTTATTTTGCATTAACTTATTGTCATTTGTAGTTGAATCGATTTGGCGGTCTAAGTTAACAGGCACTTTAACATTAAGTCTATTATACACAATTCTGCCTTGCAAAAATAAACCTCAGATCTTTTTTCACATTTAATTGTAATGTCATATATAACTTTATGTTGCATTAACTTATTGTCATTTATAGTTGAATTTTAATATAATCGATTTTTAGTCTAAGTTAGCAGGCATTTTAACATTAAGTCTATTATACATATTTCTGCCTGGCAAATACAAGCCTCAACTCTTTTATCACATTTCATCGAAATGTAAAATAGAGCTTTATGTTGCATTTAATTATTATCAGTTGTAGTTGAATTTTAATATAATCAAACAAGTTCTTCATAAAATATTTAGTATTTATGCAGATAGTATGAATATGCATAAAGGCATATTTTATAAAGTTATACTATCTGCATAAATGGATTCTAAATAATAATAGAATTCAACTAAACAAGTATTTATATGTGTGCCTAACAAGTGTATATAATATATCTGAATATTTACGATTTATATTTTGGTGTCCAGTAATTGTTCAAATTATAATAATTATCTAGTATGATATACTATATCACATACAAATTATTCATGTATGGACAATATTTATTTTTGCCAGCCATCAAAGTGCACTAACCATGACATGTCATAATTTTGGGCCATTAGCTTGTGTGTTTACTTTAGTATCAATAAAAGTTTTATGGCCTACTAAATTATGACTAACGATAAAACATTTTGGTAAATATTTGTTAGCTAATAATTAAAGTATGTGCAGCATATTCCGGCAAATATTTTATGACAAATTAATATTGTTTAATAATCGTTTGATGCAAATTATTAGCAGAAGACTTTTCATTCTCTTCATATTCCAGCTATATTAGTCTAGCTTGTTTCACTTTAACATTTGCTTAACATGCAGAATGTACAATTTTTAATTTGTGTTTAACTTTTAAAACATTTAAGTTGACAGCGTGAAAGTGTCAGCAGCACAAGTCAATAATTAATATCGACTCCGATAAATAATGCAATAGATTGAGAGCTCGAAAAAAAAAACAAGAAAGTGGCACGCCGAAGATTAAATACCCTTGCAGAACAATGGGTTAAGCTCTTGCAGATATGTGAGGAGAATAGTGAAACTCTTGTGAATATCTAGAAATATAGATAATACTACAATAGATAAACTCCCTTATCGACGGACTCTACGTATAGAGCTATTTGGCATACAAAACCGATGTTGACAAGATATGGCTCATATATAGGGAGAACAGTGAAATTAATAAAAGCCAGGCTCGATTACGATATCCTTATAAACTAATAAAGTTTGCAAGCTTTATGATATAAAGCTCCGATCTGACCTAATCGGACTGCAATTGGTCAAGAATATTTATACTTTAGGGGATCGAAGTTGTCTCATTCTAAATGTTAAAATTATAATACGCTCAAAAAAAGTATAGAAAATGTTCAGGAACTAGAACTAAGCTCTTAGCCCATCGGTTGCGCTGGCAGCTATATTTGTTTTTTTATATAGTTTTATTTTACCAAGTTCCAATTTTGGCCACAATTTGAATGCCATTGACCTTCTGAGAATATACAAATATTCTATAGCACAATAGGCTCAACTGTTGAATTTCATCAAGATCGGATAAGAAACACAAAAGTTATTATGGTTTTAATTATAACAGCATGATAAGTAGATATCGATAAGGAAATAAATGTAAAAGAGACAACCCGAAAATAAGTTAAATAAATTAATATAAAATACTACTACAATAATTTAGTGGTTCGATCCGGTCGCCGTCTACTTCTGTGCGTTACATATTTAGTAACAAAGTTGTTATACCCGCAAAGAAGGGCATAATTAGGAAACTGCAATTACCAGGCACACAGACACGCAAGAGAAAACCACAACATGAACAACTGTTAATTATCTAGGAATGAGTCAGGGTCTGTAGCTAATTAATCAGCGAATGTTGGAGCTGTGGTTGAAGGCGTGCTTGGCAACTGGCAACTAGCACACCAAAGTCCGAGCCAGGCACATGTTGAACCCGCATTGTAAAATTTATGTACATGGATAAGTTGCCATGGTTGAGTTGGACTTACCGCAATGAGCCAGATCGATGATTGGCACCACAGATCGGGAGAGCAGCGTGTCCAGCTTGTCGTCGCTTGTTTTTGTTTTCAGCATTTTGCCTGTGTGTGTGTGTGTTGGTGTGTGTGCGTGTGTGTGTGTTGCTTTATTGTGCAACTCTTTCTGCAGTTCTTTGGTTTGGCAGCACTTGGCGCAGTTGCGGAACGCTTTATCACTAATTGCGCGCGACGAACTGATCAATATTTATTTGTTTATTGTTTTGTTGTCTGTTTCTGTATCTCTTTGGTTATTCAGCTTGACGACTAAGCAATTAAATTGTTACTATTTGTTATTCTTTTTGTTGTTGTTGTTGTTGTTGTTGTTGTTGTTGTTGGTGGCTGGTGGCAAGCACCTAAGCACAGCCAAGCGTTGTCAAATATATAAGCGCATATATATAATTAAAAGCCAATATCAAAACAAAAACAAATCCAATCGAAGCCAAACGGCTATCAAATCCAATTGGACAGCGAGGGGTGGCGGGGGGCGGGGGCGCGCGTGTCGGGCGTTTCTTTAGACGCCTCGTAAGAAAAAATCGCGCGTGGTTATTTAACGTAACCAAACGGAAATCTACGTTGCGATCGCGGCGCGTTTCTCTGTTAAACTGATCAGGTATGAAATCGAGTTGGCGTTTTCTTGAACATTCCTCAAGTTGCCGCTGCCTCTGCTGCGGCCGCCGTCGCCGTCGCTGCCGTCGTCGCTGCTTATCGCACCTTTGGCTTTGCTGCTGAGAGTGGCGCATGTTATGGGAAACTTAAGAGGCTAGGCATGAATTCGCACTTGTGTGCGTCACACACAAACACACGCAAATCACAGTAAATGTGTGTGAGTGTGTGTGCGTGTGTGTGTGCCCGCACTCTCGCATGTGCGCCGCAATTAGATAAAAATGTAATCAAATCAAATTTGTGATAAGTAAATTAGCACTTGTCGTTTGTGCAATGCAGACGAACGGAGGGAGGGAGGGGCGGCGGGAGGGGGAAGGAGGCACTATGGGACGAAAGGAAGAGACGGTAGACAGTCTGGCGGGTGAGGAGCAGCACATATGCTAAACACGATATTTGCACTACAAAGTATCTCAAAAGCTGCTGCCGTGAGTGGCGGTCTCATCAACAGGTAGCTGCCAGTTCGCTCGCGAGTCGCGATATTCAGGTAACGCGCACACACACTTAAATGCCGCTCTACACACACACACAGACACACAGACACTTGCATGTACATAGGTACAAGTGTGTGTGAGTTTTTAGCTTCGCTTTGTGTTTTTATTCGCAAGCCAATACAGATACGTTTGTCGATGTGTATGCGTGTGTGTGTGTTTGCTTGTATGGGCGCAAATGTATCTGACAGATCTCGTTTAACGGCACTCGCACACTTGGACTCAGGTGTGTGCCCTGCTGCTGCCACAGCTTCACCCCTTGGCGACCAGCTGAGCAGCTCTAAAGCCGAAGCGTCGTGCCTGAACTCCGCATTTGCTTTTGTTTTTCTTTTTGTTTTGATAGCGTCCATATATGTATGTGTATATACGAGTATATTTCTTTATGTATATACATACATATGTATCTCTGGTTGCCGCGGCTGTTGCCAAGCGGCATCGCAGGAAACGCCAGATGAACAAGAAGCGGCTATGCAAAGTCTGCAACGTTTGCATCTTCAGGGATGGGATGGCAACGCCAGAGGAAAAACCCTAACTGAATGCGTACATGTGTGTGTGTGTGTGTCGATCTATCTGATTGCGCGTGTGTGTGTGTGTATGTGTGCGCGCATGAGTAAGCGTTTCTCCAACATATATTTGCATTTTCAAATCAAATCTATTTTTAAACAACTTTGAAAGCACTTTTTTTCTGTATTCACATTCGGAGTTAGTCGAGTTTTCGTGGCTATCGGCGAAAAATCGCTTTCTTTTTTCGCACAGATTTCCCTTAACAGGTTTCAACGTCACCAAAAAAAACGTTGCCAAGCAATTCTTTAGCTTTGTTTTTGTTTTTATTTTTTTTTTTGTTTTTTTTTTTACTTTTCGCACACTTTCCAACATTTTGTAACACACACGCGAACGCGAATTTAACCTAAATACAATATAAAAATGCGCACGCCAACAGTTGAGCCATGCGAATATACCTATATACCTGGCAACAGCAACCAGACCAACGAACAACAACAACAACAACAAAAGTAGTATATTTATAGCAACAACAATGCGACACTTACAACAAACAATACGCAAACGACAACGCGCCAACGAGCGGAAGGGACGCGTCTGCACTTCACCACATTTTCGCCAACACTGCGAGGCGAGTTTTAGTTTCAAATTCAATTTGCCTGCAACTTCAACATACACACACATCTTCACATACAAGCAAACGTGCATACATATGTATTGAATAGTGACATACATAAATACATAGATACACATAAATTATTTTTCTAGCATACTTTTAGACAGCCCATTAATTTGTTTAGCTACGAATTGAGTCTGAATATGCGAAACTCAAGTCCGGATGTTATGGCCAATGTGCTTATACAGATATCGAAATATGTATCATATATTAATCATCTTAAGTAGTACATCATTTGGTAAATATTGCCTGAGTCACGTTTCTTCTCTGGAAGTCTTTTATCTCGAATTCAAGTCAGTCAACTGTTCTTTATCGAATTTCCGCAGTATTCTGCTTACATATCTGTCTAGAGAAGGCATATCAAAAATTAATAAGAAAAAGTGTAACTGAAAATACGAAAATTTTTAGAATTAATGAATAAAATTATACTAATATGCATTTCATTTTTTTACAAAATTCTAAATTAAGGTACAAGCCCATTTGCAGCAGCTGCTTTGTGTTATTTTTGCTTGATGTAAATCCCAAATTAGCCAGCTGCTTTGCTGCACTTTAATAAAAAATGAATACGCACGCAAATTACAATAATAAAACACGGCTCGTTCCAAGAAATTAACTGGGAAATTAATTCTCTGAGTCAGACTCAGCGGCACGTGCGCGCCATCTAGCGGGAATAATTAATACCTTTTGCTTTCCTGAAATTCGCAAAGCATACTTTTAGGCACGAAAAAATTATACAATTCAATTCGTATTGTTTATTTATTGTTTTTTGAAAATATATTTTACAATTTACATGTTAATGTTTTGGAATTTAGAAAAGAAAATGGCAAATAAAATTACTGCTAATGACAATTTGGTGTTTTGCCATCTGCTGTATGTCTTAGAGTTTTATTGCACGCCAATCAATAAAATAAAAACTACATACATATCGAACAACTAAACTTAAATATTTGGTTCTATTATACTTTGCCATCACGTCAAGTGCAATAGCGACTGTTCCTTTGTCACAAACTCATTGCTGACTTCAAGGAACCTTAACAGCTAGAAAATGTACATACACCCAGCTTGATCTATGTATATACCTTAAAGATGGGGGTAGTCGGGGTGTGGAATACCCGTTAAGAAAGTGTATCTTCACAGTAGACGTGTACAGGCTATATAAACCTAACTAACGATCGCCTTTGGCTATCGATCTTAAGGCAAAAGATATAAAACATCGGCTATGTCGCTTCTACTCCTGTTTAACCGCCAATTTGGCCTGTGCCGCCGCCAGCTTGGCCTGCGCCGCCTGCTTGGCCTCCCGCTTGTAGTTGTGCACATAGAACGAGCTGAACATGTAGGTGAAGAGGCCGGCATTGAAGGTGAGCAGCGCCGCAATCGATTTGGGGAAATTGCAGCTGGGCTGGAACTGAATCTGCAGCGTGTGCACAAAGATAATAAGGAATTGCACCTGTTGCAAAAATAAAACAAAATATGGTTGATTGACTGGATCAATAACACGCTCTCGCTATAGCTTACAATCTGGAGAATGGTAATGTACTTCTTCCACCACAGATACTTCTGGACCTTGGGTCCCATGGCCGACAGCAGATAGTACGCGTACATAATGATGTGGATGAAGGAGTTGATGAAGCCCAACAATGTGCCATGGCCGCCGGCAAAGTACTTGACGCCAATGAAGGCGCACACGGGCATCAGCGTGTGATGGTACAGATGCAGGAACGAGATCTGGCGATCCTTTTTGCGCAGCACAAAGAACACCGTGTCCAGCAGCTCCGTGATCTTGGCAATGTAATACAGCCAAACAGCGCGCGCCATCTAAATAGAAACAGCAGCACAATTAATGCTAGTTAGAGTATATTGTCGTGCGTCTTACTCTCATGGAGATGGGATCTGTGGCATATGTCACCGGCTGGCACTTGAAGTTGTAATGTCCGCCCCAGCCGCCCTTGTAGCCCTCGTAGAAGAGCACCCAGCTGAGCAGCACCTGTACGGCATTATAGATGAGGAGCGTGTTCTTCAGCTCGAACGGCTTGCGGTCGCGCATATAACGCGGCCCGGCATACAGGCAGAAGTACAGGTAGGCGCCGAGTATCATGAACAGCGGCCCGGGCGCATTCGACAAGAACCAGCTCTGTGGAGAGATAACGTTAAAGATAAAGAGATAGATAGATCGATTTAACCAACTCACCTTTGTGCGCAGATCCTCGTGCTCCACAAAGAAGTTGACCATCTTGTCAACAATGTTCTGTGTTTCGTTCAGTCTGACCGACATTTTGCTCCAACTACAATTTAAACAAATAGATGATCAGCCAAATGTTGTATTTTTAGCACCTGGGCCACCTTTGATGCAGTTAGTCAACTGATATTTGATCTACTGTTGTTGGCCGGACGAGCATGTTAATCACGAAGGCACACAGAATTGCGAAAGCCAAAGCGAAGCCGCGCCCACGCGCGACCCATGCGACATTATTAATGGGATGTTTTTTGTAAATAAGCTATAAAGCAAATACGGCCCAGCTCGCTAAACTAACTATATATATAGATATATATATATATAAATATCAGGGCTGGCTCAAACCCACAATTCTCGGGTTGAGCCCATAAAACAGACGAACCAAAACCCAAACCGAATCATATATTTTTAGACATAAACCATATAAAGCTAGCTGCAACTTTTTGTGTATAGATTAAAAGGGCAAGTCCCTCTCTGACTTTTTGAAGTATATATATTCTTGATCATGTCCGTTTATATATCCATCATCTGTCTGTGAACGCTTCGTTTTCAGACACTACAATAGCTAGAGATACATATGCTATATATATAATTCTATATCGCCTCTCATTTTCATAATATTCATATATTAAAAACGAATTTTGAGACATGATTTATAAATCATAATTTAAAAGATATAAGACCTAGATACAATTCATGTAAGCTCTCGTAGAAAACTTATATAGATTTAAAGTATTTCACCTTTTGAATACCGCCATCCATTTCTCCAAAATCACGAAATCTAATTCATTTTCATAAGTACAACCTTCGTATTAGGTATATTCTTTCATTTGGCTGTCACAATTATGCCCTGTTAATTGCATAAAGATTGCATCGGATCCGACTACAAAGGTGCAGGGTATCTCGTAGTCGGGCTCTCCCGAGCAGAGCACGCCCATTTGTTAATTCACGGCCAAATTTAACGAACCTCAAGGCAGACCTACTCAAAAGAGTAGATTCTTTATATAAGCCGAAGCTCCGAATAATTTGTTGTTATTATTTTGTTTGTTTTGTTTTGTTTCCAGCCCTGATTTATACTACGCACTGCAGTTGGGTGCAAATTATCTAACTAATATGTATATGAGCATGTAAATTAGTCAAAGCGTCGCAGGTTTCCGTGGCAATAACCCTGCTGAATTTCTGCTTAATCAGGCCCTTTTTTTTCGAGCAGCTCAAAACTTTGCCTTGTCTCAGCACAAAGCGATTTTCTGTTTTCATGTACATTTTTGTAAAATTGTTTTACAGCTTTTTTTTTTTGGTTTTTTTGTTTTAGCCGCTAGGCTTAAATTACAGGCAGCCAGGGATGCGAGATACACATGATTATATATTTGCTGAAAATTATTATGGGCAGGAATGGAAGATTGGACTCGAAACTGGTTTGATTTCGACGTTCGATTTTGATTGTCATCTAGTTTTTGTGTAAGCGGGAATAACCCAGCCAGCAGCAGGAGCAGGATAGTTCAAGGACAGACAACTTGAGGGCATTTATTTTTTATATTTTAGCCACGGAGCGCAGAAACCTGTTTGCCTGTGACAGCTGCTGCTGGGGGCAGTTCCATCACAATAATTGGTCTGGCTAATGGCGCAATCACAGACAAATGCGGCGCACTTCAAAAAACTGGCATAAATCTTTACTTAACATCAGCTATGACAAGTTTCGGTGAGAAATTCATATTTTGTTGCCGTTCTAATTATGACGCTTGCCACTCGGCGGGCGTTGCATGCAAATTTGCGCGTCATTCTCGAATTATATCAGACCGTAACCAAACCAAACCGAAACGAGCCCAAATGCCGCCCATTTTCTGGCCAGTCATCGTTTTTATACCCTTGCACAGGGTATTATAATTTTGTCGTGAAATATGTTACGACCTGTCTGTCTATGCGAAAAAGTCTCTCAGTTTCAGAGCTATCTTTATGAAACTTTGCAGAATTGCCTCATTCTGTTGCACACAGTACATATGTTGGAACCAGCTGGATCGGACGACTCTATCATATAGCTGCCATAGGAACGATCGATCGAAAAGTAGGTTCTTATATGAAAAACTTTTTTGTTTATCAAGATATCTTGACCAAACTCGGCATTTATTAGGTTTACTATACTCCTCGTATACATGCAAAATCCTAACGACATCGGACCACTATATGATATAGCTGCCATAGGGTCGATCGATCGAAAAGTAGTTTCTTATATGGAAAACTTTTTTGCTTATCAAGATATCTTGACCAAACTTGGCATTTATTAGGTTTACTTTGCTCCTCATATATATGCAAAATCCTAACAACATCGGACTACTATATCATATAGCTGCCGTAGGAACGATCGATCAAAAAGTAGTTTCTTATATGGAAAACTTTTTTGCTTATCAAGATATCTTGACCAAACTCGGCATTTATTAGTTTTACTATACTCCTCGCATATATGCAAAATCCTAACAACATCGGACTACTATATCATATAGCTGCCATAGGAACGATCGGTCGAGAAAAAGTTGTTGTATGGAAAACTTTTTTGTTTTTTTCGATATCTTGACCAAACTCGCCACTTATAAGTTTCACTATGTTCCCCACATTTATGCAAAATCTAATACACATCGGACCACTATATCATATAGCTGCCTTAGGAAAGATCGGTCTGCAAGGGTATTTAATCTTCGGCGTGCAAAATGTAGCCCATCTTTCTCGTTTTTCTCATTGCTTTTTTGACAAACCGCGAGAACTTTGTTTGTATTTGCTTTGCTTAACATGCTCTTAACCCAATCCGACACGTGCATCTTGTCTAGAAGTTGCCTGAGCAGAATTAACAGCCTATCTGAGATGCAATTTGACCGGACGATCACACAATATTAGGCAAGAGTTAATAAACATATTCAGATTTGGCTTAAATGTTACGCAATCTATTAACATTTACATATATTTATATTTTGTATATGCCTGCTTCTATCTCCTAGTCTAGTTATATGTTCATGTTAATCAGGAAATCGTCTTCATGTTTAATTCAGTCTGACAAACCAGAATCAAACTTGTCTCAAATTTCATCAACTTTCGATTTAAAGTGTTTTTTTTTAATTTTTTTAAGAAAAGAACAAGCATTCTCATTCAGATGTCCAAGTGACCTATTCATTTGGGCAACTGAGCAACGAGCTTCAGGGTTTGCTTAAGCACAGAATTAAAGATTTTTACAGTAGTTCCCCATTTTTGAAATTGTAGAATTCATATTTATAGCTAATTTTTTTAGTATTTTTAGTTAATGTATACTATCATATTTTATAGGAATTATTAAATATTTTATAGAAAGTATTTCATGATTAACTTTGGTATTTAAAGGCTGATTCATATGTTATTTAAATAATAATATAGTATCATATGATAATAAATTTATAATATTATACCCAAATGTGTGTATATCCAAAAACAGAAATATTTTTAGTCTATTCATAATGCGAAGAACCTTAATACCTAGTTTGTTCAATCTGGCTAATATAATTTTCGAGCTATGCTTAAAATACTCTGTCATAAAATCGATATTTATCGATAATATAAACATTGGAGATATCGAAAATATTTATTTCAGATACAGACACAAACACACGGACAGACATTTGAGATCAACGCAGCTCGTCGTGTTGATCAAGAATACATATACTTTCTTCCGGCTGTTAGATACACAAGGAAAACTCTGAGATAAGTGTGAATATAAATAAAAATATTGTTAATCTTTGCGAATGCTATTTCCTATGACAGTTGTATGATTTTAAGCTACGGCATCCAGTTTTCTATATAGCTGAGAGATTAGTTGGCTTAAAACCGAGATGCAAACAAACAAGGCTATATTAACGCAGGTTGTCTTCCTAATCAATATGTAAGTTTTGTAAAAGAAGAGTTTCCTCTTTAAAGCAGAAATACTATACCCTTAATAGAATACGTAAACAGATGATGTTCCTTAGAGAAAGCTGCCCTAATGTCTAATGCCTAATGTCTAATGTCTAGACGTCTGCACTTCGATGACTAATAAGCAATATCATAAGCGAGCATATTATACAAATTCTATATTCCGTTTTATATATTTTTGATTTTTGCCCATTTGGCTATTTATTGGCATTCTAGCTATAACTGGCAGCGGCAACTAATTCCAAGCCCGCCCCAACAACATCATAAATGGCAAAATTTCTTGATTCGGGACTGGACTTTGCCTTTCAGCCTCTGTCAATCGGCATATATATATATACATATACACCCGTCTCTTTTTCTATATGCATATAATATATTCTAGATGCTGCATACATATATATATATATATACACAATATCACGGCTGATTCTAAGCAAACAGCGTTTGGATCTATGCTGTAAATTTTTTGCATATTTATTTACTTGGCTATTAATTTCCTAAACATGGCCAACCTTCACATGCAAATCAGCTATAATTCGTATATGTGTGTGTGTTCTTCCCGAATACTTGAACGCTTAAAAATGCTCAAAGCTAAATTCTTTAATTTGTCCAACCCGAAAACGAGCTCACAATCGCGATGCTCTATAAATATTTGCACCCACAAGGCGAGACTTTTCTTCTTTTGAAGGTAGACGTAACTCTATAGAGTTTGGCCAATCAATTAGCGAGGCAATTGCAAAATTGCGTACACATTGTTGGAAAAAAAAAAAATGTAAATAAATAGAAGTTTTATCCGCACGTAACCGCGCCCCTGCCGCTGACGTCAACATCCAGTTTCTCATTATGCGATAATCGGCCCGTCTACGGATCGGACGATCAATTCTAGACACGCGTTGCCCGTAGCACAAAAGAAGCACACGTTTAATTATTATTCCCCCATCTTCCCCTGCTTCCCCTTCTTCTTCTTCCTCTGTCCGTTTTGGACGTGGCGCACATGTCGTATACGCTTTTGGCCTTTGGAGTCTTGATTCAGGTTTAAAGTTTGGGCCGCTCAAAAATTGATAAGAGCCGCAAACGAAGGCTGCATATCTATTACATGCGTAGTTTTTTTTTTTCTTCTATTGATATCTGAAAAGCGCCAAGTCATTCGGGCTTTGAAAAATCTTGACTACGAGCCGGCTTTGAAAAGAACACACCGAACATTAAATACCCTTGCAGCATGGCTTATTAATGCAAATTGTTCATGTCCGCCCGATTGTTTCTATAACTGTTTC